GGGGGGGGGGAAGAGAGTGAGGGGGGTACACGCATGACCCTGAACCCAACCGCCGTGGCACCCAACCCCCGGTACAGGGGTGCGAAGCCTCGGGAGAGAGAGACGCAGGAGAGAGAACTCGAGATAGAACGGACGAAGCAAGGGCGGAAGAGAGGAGACTATAGCGGGTAAGGGGAGATATACCGTATATACGAAGAAGAGAGAATAGAAAGAGAGATAGAGAGAGAAAGATGGAGAGAAAGCTAGAGACTACGCCGTCGAGAGAGAGTACAGTTCCCGAGATCAATACTCCCGCGTCTTGCGATCATTCATCTTGCCACGCCCCTCTGCTCTCTCCACACATTTCCTGTCTTTCTCGTTCCCTTTCGTTCATCCCCTTTTCCCCGTCGCTCTCTTCCTCTCTTTCTCTCTCTTTCTCTCTTCCTCCCTCCTTCCTCTTTCTCATTCTCTCTTACTCTGTCTGTCTCCTGTCTCCCCTTTTCTCACCCTCCGCGATCTTCATCCCTCTGGTAGCACCCCTCATAGTCGTGGTCGCCGTCATTTGGCGCCCAATCGTGGCGCCTAATACGAATGGAGCAAAGGGGAGAGAACTTTCCGAAGGTCGCAGGAGAGAGGGAAATCTAAAGAGAGAGAAAGCGTGATAACGCACAAGGTGGTGGCTCCGGTTTCCTACGCACTGACTATGCGCGGTTCATGGGAAAATGACGATTTCTTTGATTCGTACATGAAATTTATTAAAAACTGTATTATTTGTAGATGATTATATGCATTATTTGGTACACGCAGTAATACTGTTTTAATTTTGCAATTATCATTTCGGTTTATTCAATTTAAAATATTCGAAATAAATATTTTAATATCAGTACATATACATATAAAAAAATCGATATCAATATATTACATGTTATGGGAGAAAGAAACATCAATTTGAAAATGTTTACAAAAGATTGATTTAAACGCAGAAAATAACAGATTTACATGAATGTAATCGAAATATATATATATTATAATTTAATTTTCTATAATTTTCTCATAAATATATTTATGACTGATATATTTTATAATTATGTATATTTTAGAATAATTATGATAGAGTTATAATTTTAAAGTTCTTTAATATTTCAACATATTTTACGTGAATATTAAATATTTATTGTACGTATAAAATAATCTAGAATAATTTTTTGTCTCAATCGGTGTGTGTGTGTGTGTGATTTCTGAGCAAATCTATTTTGAATGCGCACGTTTTGTTATGTATTGAGTCTTGTGAATGTTTATTAATCATACATGTAAACCATTTGACAAAATTTGTTTACATGATATTTATTATAAAACCGAATATACTGTTGCCAGATTTCACTGATCTTTTAACATGGGAAATACGAATAATATGGCAAATACAGAAAAATTATAAATATAAAGAGACTAAGAGCTGGATTGAAATTGTTAATATTTAATAATCTTTATAATAAAATACAACATACGTTTCGACAAACAATAGGTTATTCTTAATGTTGATGAAGTAAATATTATAAACGGTTACATCCTAATATAAAAGTTTTAAGATTGAATGTTACTTGTTACAACACGAATAATTAAACAAATTTTATCTTCTATTAAAAATACGTACTATATATTTTGAACTTAGATTTTAATTATATTGTTATTAAGATGGTATAATTTAATGTAAAAATCTTGTTACTTTTCTATACATATCAATATAGTGAGAATTACAGTCTTGAGTTCGAAGTTCAAATATATAAATTACATTTTGTTAGAAATATATCCAGATGTAAAAGAAACAACTGCCCGATCGCAATAGTCATCAGTTTGATCGTCTTATGAATTCATGCTTATCTCCAATAACTAACTTTAAATTGTCCAAGTTAAAAAAATAATAAGTTGCAAGAATGCTTGCAAATAGATGATAACGGTAATATTCCAACTATTGTAATTATTATAAAGAAATTAATTAAATCGTACACATATCAATATATTGCGAAACAGAAGTACTTTTATGTTTGAAATAATCCTTTTCAAAAAACGACATCTATATTTTATATTTCTTATTTCTCTTTCTACAAGAAATCATTTCCGATTATATCATGGTTTACTAGACATCTCATATATATATAGATTATTGACAGAAACACATGCTTGCCTGACGAAAACAATAGTTCGTGGAATATAACGGAAATAAAGCCAAGAAATTTTTTGATTTATGTTACAATAAAAAAATGTTTTATGTGGATGGCGTGTTGAACATGATTTAAATGAATTTTTGAAGCCAACCTCTATCTTTTTTGCTGAATATATTGGAAGAATGAGTAGATTAGAGAATTAGAGAATATATCACGTAATGAAGAAAAAAATTTTTAAAAAGATATTCGTTTTAGATAGAAAAGCCGATAGATCCGTTTTGCGATAAAGGAAGTCCACAATCAGATAAATTAAAATATCGGATAATAAATCGATGTATATCGATTCTCTTTCCGGTATCTCGCACTGAGTTTGCTTTCTTCTCGTTTGTATTTTTTTTCCATTTTCTTTTGATGACTTACCGGAGCAACTGGTGTTGTTCTATTTTGCTTTTTCCCTTTTTGCCTTTGTCATTTTAAGGATATTGTTCCTTCGTTTAAAGAAAGCAGTTACTTTAAATGAAAATAATTCATAGAAAAATACAAGGAACAATGTTAAGGAATAACCTATATGATTATTTTAAAAATATTTAATTTGCACAAATTCTCAGAGATATTAAAATCTGTATAATTTTTTAGTAAGTTTATTTTTTAACACTAAATATGAAAATATATCCTTAATTTTTTGTTTCTTACTATTGTGATCATTTCTTTGTATTTATAATATCAAAATTATCCTTGAGTTATGATTTACAAGTATTTCATTGAAAGAGTAATTACAACAGATTACATTTCTCTCTATTTATTCTTAGTATTAATTTTCTCTTTGTTGAAAATAATTAAAATTATACTTAAAAATAGATCTGTAAATTTAATTATTGTTCGTAAAAATTATTATGTGAGTAACTTTTGTCATTATCTTTAGAAAAATGTTGAATGTGTTATCAAGAAAATTTGGCATAAGTGCAAGAATTGATCTAATTCGAAGCTCAAGTATGATCGCACACACAATATAACCATGCGTTAACCAACTGTTTATCCTACTTCATTACCTCTCGTAACTTCGCTAAGCAGACAATGCAGAATAAAAAAAAAAGGATCGATAGAACTCGATTCTAAGCGAGAGTGTTAAGGACGATGAGGAAAATCAAATGATAGCATTGCGGGGCAGACGAGATAAAGAATAGCGAGGCGAACGGAGATTTAAGTAAGGGCGAGGTCGTTCAAAGTCTCGTGGATATCCGTGATATCTTCTCTTTTGAATCGTTTCCTTGCTGCTATCGCATCACCTGTCGCTGCCATCGTACTCGTTACATTCGTCGATTCTTCGCCAGTGGCTTCGTTCTTTATGGCGGATAAAAAGAAATCGAATTACATCGAGTGGAGGCGTACGATCGTCTACGATCGATTTGGTCACTCTTCTGAAGTCAATGTGGACAATTTGTGTTAGCAACCATTTTTCCGATAGATTATTTTACCGTGCGCGTGTCTCGAAAAATTATCTTAAAATTGGTACGTTTATATTAATTTGTGAAAACAATACAAACTCGCTGAAATTAGTTGAGAAAAATATAAATGCCAATTGCCACGTTTGCGATTGAATATTATTCGATCAAGAAATTATTTATAGCACAGATATGTCTGAGCTCGCTAAGATTGTGTATCTATTTTTATTTCTGAATCTAAATTTGCAAAGCTAAATAATGACAATTTTGATGACAATTTTAGGAAATTGATTATATCATATTATAAAATATATATTATATTATAAAAAAAAAAGATGTTCTGATTTATTTACAGTGAGAAATACTTAATAATCTCCGTCTCTTATATGAAAATTTGACATGTCATAGCTTTAAACATCCCTTAAAAATCATTTTCTATGTATTTCGATCTATTTTATAACGTGGTTTTACTAATTCCAAATCTATCAAATTTGCAGCAATGGAAGCCGAGGATGACGAAGAGATCATTGATGGTAATGAGGGCTCCAGAATCATTTTTTCATCAGGTATCAAGCGCGATGGCGGCGGTGACGAAGGCGGAGGAGATGAACAGTTCCTTCAAATCAACCGGCTGCAGCAACACGCCAGCTCGGAAAAGAGATTCAACCGGTAAGTAGCTCGTTTCATTCTCTAAAAGTTCGTCGTTTATGTTGTATGACTTTATTCCTCTCGCTTTGGCAAATCCTTTACGGTATATACGGAAATATGCAAAGTGTTGGCCGTATAACTACAAGCTAAATAAAAAATACGGAGCTTCCTCTTAGCGATCGTTCGCATGGAAAGACCGAGAGTACGACGATATACATCGTGCGAGAGATGTCGATCAATCCAAATCGCATAGCGTAGATTACGTCGATGTGTCGCTATGCAACAGCATTTATACCTTCCGCTTTGCCCGTCATTGTTTTGCGCTTCACCGTGATCCTCTATTCAGTCTCACGATGTATTGAATAATTAATTATTTATTTACGCTCGATGCTACAGTGGTCCAGTAGTTCGTTTTGATGACTGGAGATACATAAAAGAGTGTACGTTATATATTTACAGTATAATTATAACAAATACACGAGTGCAGTTACACGAAATAGGTACCTAAAACCTAAAACATGCACAACAATTCTATCACACTAGTTACAACACAATGTAATAATTATTGGATTATTTGAATAAGACTTGTATAACACTTAATTACTACAGTATATTTGCTCATAGGTAGTACCATGTTATTGTTTGAAAATTTATTAGAGAGATTATTTAAACAAATTTTTACTGATTTTAGAAATAGCAATAGTTTTTTTCAAGCTAAATCCCTGTACAGTTTATCTCATGAGATTATTCTTTGTGAAATGATAATTTATATTCATCGTGATATAAAATTTAACAAAACAAAATACATATAACGATATATATCTGTAGAAGGTTCTAGCGAAATTGAACGTAGCGTTCGAAAATCGTTCTGTTTCTTTTCAAGTTTCTTTCTCGCAAATTGCCGAGTGAGTTTAACGAACTTTCTCCGTTGGGAACGCCGTGTTTTCTCCCAATTTCTTCAGATGCTTATTCTTACCCTTCCGCCCGACGGCTCATATCGGCGCAGACAGAATTCGCTTGAACGTATTACCTACGAGAAGAAGAAGAAGAAGCTGCTATGCACGATTCGGCCGTTGTGAGCACGGACTAGCCAAATATACACGGTGCGTCAGCGTCGCGGCGCGCGGCGTCGCGTCCTCCCTTCTCTGCGCCGTTTCAACTGCCGGGCGCCTCGTTTGAGGTCATCGTCATCCGGCCTCTTTCGCTCTCTTTCCCGTACGTGCGACCATCCCCGTCTTCCTTCTCTTTGCGGTATCCTTTATACCGTCCCTTCCCCTCTCTCTCTCTCTCTCTCTCTCTCTCGCTCTCTTATTTTCTTCATTTGTCTTCGTTCTCTCGTTCGGGGCATTCGGACGCGTCTCGGATGAGCGAACTTTGAAGCAAGTATACGTGGGTACACTTCTATGTTCGCAAAATCACCCAGGATGTTATCATTGCAAAATTCAGACATCGATACAAGGATAGATGTAGATGTCGAAATAAAAAAGCCATTTCTTAAAAACTTTTATTTTATATTTTTAAATCACAAAAGCGCACAGAAATTATTCTTTAACGACATTCTTTATACTTCGCATATTATAAATAATTTCAATGGCGTATTTTTGTACAATGCTTTTATATTTTTTTTAAGTATAATTGTACAATAAGGAAAATGATTATTGTATTTGACGTTATGAGAAATACAAAACGGGCGGACATTTTCATTGTAAAACTAATTATCAGACTAAGTAACGTTCAACATGTTTCGTATACACATTTCTTAAACTTTCAAGTATTGTACTCACTAGATTTATCACAATAAAAATCTTTATGACCGTATTAAAAATTCCCGGAATTATTACGCGTATGTAACTACGGGAAAAATATAAATCTTCTACGGTAGAAGAGTTTTCGATTCGCCTCGCGGTTAAGTGGACCTAGGCAAAAAGCGGAAATAGCGTGCTGCCCCATTCGCCGGTGAAACCGCCGTTGTTTTTTCTCAAACTGTAGTCCATGCACGAGACCGTACGTACCTACTAAGAATATTAGCATACGCGCGATCGAACATAATTGTGCCTTCCACGAAAAGATATATCAAACTTTCAAGAGAAACGTCCTGATCTTTATTCGTATTGTCTAAAGTTTAACCCTCCTAACATTCACGAAAGGATATAAAAAGTTTAAGTGTGCTAGTAGCATCAAATCGACGATAAAAAATTAATTTGTGAGGATTGTTATTTCAGTTAAATGATTGTGTTGCAAGGCAACACAGTGTGCGGCACACAATTTGAGATAAATATATTTAGAATTTTATATATAATTACTACTCCAACATCTATTTTATTATATTTGGTTTAATGTACTCTCCAAATCTTTGAAATGTAGTCTAAAGAGTGAAATCTCATTCTTAAAAATTGATAATTAAGCGACTCTTCAACATTGGCTCAATTGTCACTCTTTGGCCGGTATTCATAGTCAGATCTTATATTTAAGACCGTTTTAAGTACAGTCTTGAGGTGTCACCAATCAGAGGGCAGTATTAGCGTCTTAAGACATTACTTAAGATGATCTTGAAATAAGAACCGACTATGAATACCGGCCTTTTTAGAATTAGATTCTACTCCAAAGATTTTCGAGAAGATTTTAGAGAGTACTCATGTAATGTATTCATACATACACTGAGAAAAAAATATAGTCTATTTTAATAAATATTTGTTCAGTAAACAAAATTATTGTTAAATCAAATTAACATTTCTTGTATCAAATAAATATATCTTTATATTTAGTAAATATTTAGTTGGCAGTATTCAACTAAAATTAAAATTGACTATATTTTTTTTTAGTGTATCGGTTGTTTTCTTGTTCTTAATATAAAAAAAGGTATAAAAAAAGTACAAATAAAAAATTAATATTTGGATAGTTTCTTTTATATTTAAACATATTTTAGATATATTATAATGCATCTATACGAGTCGATGAAATTGACGGTTCATCTTGAAGTCGATAGAAAAAAAGATATTTCTTGTGAAGCGTAGTTGCGTGTCGCCGGCTGCTCCAATACGCCGCAGCGTGTAATTAAAGGCGTGTTTCGTAACCGCTCACGCGTTCTTGGACGGTTTCCGATTACCCACGGTTAGGGGTAACGTGCGTGTATTACGCGCTCACAGGATTCCACGTGTAACGATGTAGTTTCTTCCGGTGTACCGGTGTATATGAGCCCGGAAGACGCCGAGTTAACGTTAGAAACCAAGATGTTCTCGGCGAGCGAAGAATATCGCAGGCATGATTACGCTCACTCTTCTCTCATGGAACTCATGTGGTATTAAATTCATTTTTCCACGTAAAAAATTAATACACCGTAAAAGCGCACGCGAGCTAATATTAAACCCCGTGGCGTATCTCTTTATCTTGAAAGCGATTTTCGCGCGAAGGCATAGCTTCCTGACGCTTTGATCTTTATTCGCATCGCTTAACGTTAAACGTGATCGCTTGACTTTCCCTCGTTTACCGGATACCACATCAGATGACACGAATAAAATTCGTACGCAGTTAAATTTACCGCTAAAACGAGTGCGACGTAAGACATAGATTCTTTATTCTCGTCTGCCATTAACGCGTTATGCTGTTCGTTCAACCGAATTATTTGTTATGTCGGGACAACCTGGCGGTCTCTTTTCGAAGAAGCGATAATTGTGGACGGGCAAGTGGAATCGTCATCGGGGCGACCGTTCTAGACGGACGCTAATACTTTCGACGTCGCGACGCAGTTCCGTGAAACGCGCGTCACGCGTGCATGGGAAATATTTCGGAATACCGAACGGGTTAGAGGGGGACGATGGGTCGACACGACGGGTTTGTCCGGATGGCACACCGTGCGCGTACGACACCGACCGGCAGACGAAACAAAATACTGCTAAAATTAATCCGAGCCTTAGGTCATGTCTGCAAGGAGTCTAGACGACGACCACGACGACGCCGCCGAGGACGACGCGACTCGCCGCCGAAAGTGGACCGAAGCGTGTGGGCGCGATACTTTAACGCGAGTTCTGGTATTTCCACACATTTCCGACTTCCTGCTACACTACTCCCTCGCGTGCATCGTCGTTCTGTCCCTTTTTTTCCGCTATATTTACTACACTGTCTTGCTCCTTTCCTGCATTAGGATCGTCGCTTGTCTAGAAAGTTTGTCCAAAAATACGGGAATTTTCCTTTTCGTCGACACGGTCGAAAAACTTTAATAGGTTAATGAAATTTTATGTTTTTATTATTGGTTTTATATATATATATATATATATATATATATATGTACGTGGTATGTTATTTTTATACTAGAAATCTATATTGAGTACTTATTTGTCGAGAAAACAAGAAATATGTAGTCGAATAAATTTAGTAATGTTTTTCAGAATGAACAGATATTTCTGTAATTTTATTTCGATTGAATGTAGGAAGTTTAAGAGCGAAAAATAAAAGTTAAAAATATATTACTTTTTTGTGTACCGCGAACAAATATTGTTTTCACATTATTCACGCCGTCCTGCGCTTTCAATCTTTCTTTTTACTTCTTCTATTCTCTGATATTTCAAATACAATATATTTCTTTATCATTTACAATTTTATTTTAATAGCACCATCAGAGGTGAAGTGAAATTTATTTCCATTCTTCGGTTGTTGAAATTCAATACTTTGCCGAAGAGTTTTAGAGATTGATCTCTCCTATGAATCTCTAAGTTACGTAAAAGTCGCTTATGTAAATTTAATCGACAAAACACTTTTTATTTATTTAACCTTTTTCTACGTCCATTAATCATGCAATTTACCAAGCGTTGTGTACAAGTAATTCCCCCATAAAAGCGTTCTAAACTGATACATTACGAAATATCGCTTGGACTTTATTCAACACCATTGTTGCTATATAATGACAGATTCTAATTCTATTATAAATCGCCGTTGGTAGGCCACGAAAGTCCTTTATCGCAGATTACAACCCCCTAACGCGCACGCCACCAATTCGATTTGCGCTGTTGATGTGAGTCAGAAAC